AATTTTCATTTTTTTAAAAATATTTTTGTATTAATGTCTGTAGGCACCTTTTCCCTGGGTCACCTAATTTTTTTAAAAACCGGTGATACAAGGCCATTCAGATGCAAATACTGTACACAGAGTGGATAACATTATATAAAGGCTTTTTCTCCTCCGTTGAATCAGTTTAAAATGTGAAGCCTGCACAGAAAACTTATCTCTGCTCTTATTTAATTTTGTATGGGAGTGAGAGGGAGTTGCTTTACAAGCCTTCTCTGCCTGAGGGCAATTACAAAAGCAGTATTCTGCATCCCATTACTTCTAGCCTTGTGGGAATAGAGCAAAGGTTTAAGGGGATCATATATGTTCTACTCAGCATCCCAGAGAGTCAATTCCCAGGATCCCTCCATAGCTGTATAGCCCCAACAAGTAACTATGGTGTTAGCGTAGCAAGATAGACATGTCTGGTGTGGTGGCCATGGAGAGGTTTGCAAAGGAATTGCCCTGAGCTGGGAAGTGGCAAGGAGCATGTTGGACTATAATTAGACAATAGAGAGGCTTTCTTCATTGGACCTAAACAACTGAGGATCCTCCCTAGGCGATTACCCTCAGAGAGCACCTAGAACACCTGCCTTCAGCACAACATACGCGTCCCACATGTTGTCTGACAACACAAACAATCAATCCTCTCCCCCAAGAAATTTATTAAAAGTGACAAACGGACAGAGAGCAAATGAGGGGAGAAGTCAAAGTAGGAGCACAGCTGCTTCTATGATGTATTTTGTATAGGAATAGGCTATTAATATGTCCATATATTATATATATAATATATTTGAGTCATGATCCAGTGTTATGAATCTATTATGTAACTTTTGTTATCATTTTAACAGTTTGAATTGCAAAAACACAAAGTCAGACTTACACAATGACCTATATTTAGAACTGTTCTCAACTGAAAGGTAGATACAAATATACTGTATATCAGGGTCATTGATTGGATGGAGCGCTGTTTGAGGTATTTAGATAATGCCTTTGTGGATCCAAAAGCTTTTTTTTTCTTGTAAATAATAGTCTTCTTCAAAATGTTATAGTTGCAAGCATAGGGTTTGTTTTACTAAAACTAGGGAGTGCAAAATCTGGTGCAGCTGTGCATGGTGGCCAATCAGCTTCCAACTTCAGCTTGTTCAATTAAGCTTTGACAAGAAAACCTGGAAGCTACCATGAACAGCTGCACCAGATTTTGCACTCTCTCCAGTTTTATTAAATCAACTCCAATGTGTTTATGTCAAAATTGGCAACATCCAAAAGTAAGGCTGGTAAAAGACTAAATTAGACAGTTGGTCTTGCATGATTTGAAGTGCAGGTTAGGGCGCAAACCTACACGTTTAGCTGACCTGAGAGGAGAGTGCTAAGTGAGAAAAGGGACAAAATGGTCAGAACTTGTCTGAATCTCTTGAACATCATTGATTGGAGGTTCCATTGAAGTAGGACTATCGTATATCTGGACATCTTAATTAATGTCAATATACTATAGATCGATTCATAATGTAAATGTGTTTATATATTTTATATATATACTGTATATGTGTGTGTGTGTGTGTAGTGCTACCCTTGTGAGGGCTGCTGTGTTGTGGGTACCACCAAGCTCTGCACAAACCAGGCAACATGTATTTCTTTCACACAGACTTGCATCCAAGAGACAGTAACCAGCTAGTGGGCTTGGTTTTGTTATTATATTATGGGAAATTAACTTGAATAGGGAAATAGGGATTATGGGATGCCCAGTTTGGCTTGAATCAACTTCCTTCCTATGTACAAAAGACAGATCTTAGACTGTTCTTTTCCATGAAAGCCATCAGTCTTTGCAGATCAGTAGCAACAGCCCTTTATGGGTAAGGAACAATCAGCCTCTCAAAAATCAGCTTAACTTCTTGTAACTACATGCAGAGATATCTTCTCTCCTGTTGCTGAGCTGCTCCCATCTCCATAGCCTGCAGACACTAACAGCCCTCCAGGCTGCTTGGAAGATCTCCCACAACAAGGATAAAGGCGTGAGCCAAGCGCTGTCCTTTGAAAGCTTGCTACATGTGGCAGTCTTTCTCCTTGTAGATCCCAGGGAGGTCTGATGTACTCAATCTGTCCTCTTTCTCCCCACTGCTCCAGGTCTCCATCCCATTCACACCTCACTGGTGAATGTATCCTCCAGAGCCAGCCCAGCCTAGAGGCAGCCCCCCCCAGAACTAGGGGACCCCTCCCAGGCACGGACAGTCTCCTCAGCACTCTATCTTCTACATGACTCCTCTGTCAGCCTCACTCTCCCATATATATGGACCGGTCCACCACTCTACCTAGACCTCCAAACCTGGGATTGGCCAGACTCTCATAAACATGCAGATTAGGTCTCCATCCCTTCCTGCTTACTGACTTTTGGAAGGTTCTATGGTCCTCCAGAGTCAGGAAGAGGCGATAGATTCAACCTGCTATGCCATCCAGCTGACCTGCAATAACCCAACCTCAATCACAGACTCACACAGTTACCATGAGTCATACACAATGCTTTTACCTGCAATACACTACACTATTCTAGCAGCACACTGGATGGTGCTACATACAGTATATATAAATATAATGTAAATATATATGAATTTAAATAGTTATGTAGGGTAAGATGTAAAATCTTTCAGTGAACTGCTAATGCAAACTGGTGATAATACCACTGTGATAAACTCAGCCCCCTCAGTTAACGCTAATGGCTCATTCACAGCTCTGCACTAAAAATGAATGCATTTTTAATATACATTTTCTGGGTTTTTGCTTTAGACACTTTTTCTGTGTACATTTCTAAGCATTTAGGTGTGCAACTCCATAATTTCCAATAATACGGCTATTCTTGCTGCAAATCATAGCAAGGATGTCACAAGAAAGGTTTTTCAAAAGCGTGAAAAACGAAATCACACTGTAGGGTTACCATTTCAGGTTCTCTTTTGCCAAAATGGAAAGGCATTTCTGAGGTTCCACCTATAGGAGCCTTCTTTCCTTTAAAACTACTATGCCTACTGGTACTTTGATGCTCTTGGGACATAAGGCATAGTGCTATATTTGCAGAACTGATGCACCCCAGCAACCTCAGATGGGAGAGTTCACACACTGGGTTTATTTACTAAAGCTGGAGAGTCCAAAATCAGACTCCCTTCTGCAAAGAAACCAACCAGCTTCTAACCTCAGCTTGTTCAATGAAGCTTTGGCAATGAAACCTGGAAGCTGATTGGTTTCTATGCAGAAGGGAGTCTGATTTTGGACTCTCCAACTTTAGTAAATAAACCCCACTGTGTCAGGTGGCTTCAAGATATGGAAATGTTCGGAGTAGGCTGGAGTAACAAGGACTAGATGGAGTGTCTTGGACAGCCAATGGGAGTAAAAGTGGCATGGGATGAAACACAGAAGTTGTTTAACCACTAGCCTAGAGGGCACTTATACCCCCTTCCTGCCTAGGCCAATTTCCAGCTTTCAGCACTGTCACACTTTGAATGACAATTGCACGGTCATGCAACATTGTACCCATATGAAATTTTTATCATTTTTTTGAGACCGATAGAGCTTTCTTTTGGTGGTATTTATTCACCTCTGGGATTTTTATTTTTCTTAAACAAGCCAAAAACCCCTGAAAATTTTGAAAAAAAAAACATTTTTTCTTAGTTTTTGTTATACAGGTTTGTAAATAAGTGATTTTTCTCCTTCACTGATGTGCGCTAATGAGGCTGCAGTGATAGGCACTGATAGGCTGCACTGATGGACACTGATAAGTGGCACTGATGAGGAGGCACTGGTAGGTTGCACTGATGGGCATTGACAGGCATCACTGATGGGCACTGAAAGGCAGCACTGATACATGGCACTGATACATGACACTGATATATGGCACTGATATATGGCACTGATACATGACACTGATATATGGCACTGATAGGCAGCACTGATAGGTGGCACTGACTGGCACTGTTAGGCAGCACTGACTGGCACTGTTAGGCGGCACTGACTGGCACTGTTAGGTGGCACTGACTGGCACTGATAGGTGGCACTGATTGGCAGCACTAATAGGTGGCACCGATTGGCATTGATAGGTGGCACTGACTGGCACTGATGGGTGACATTGAAAGGCAGCTCAGATGGGCACTGATATGTGGCATTGATGTGGCACTGATGGGCACTGGCACGTGGCACTGATGAGCACTGACAGGTGGCACTTCTGGGGCCACACTGATCATCAGGGCACACTGATCATCAGTACCCTGATGATCAGTGTACATGTCCCCTCCGCGGAAAGCCGATTACCGGCTCTCCTCTCCTCTCGAGCTGTCAGCGTGACAGCTCGAGAGGAGAGAAATGCCGATAACCGATATTTCCGTGTTTACATGTGATCAGCTGTGATTGGACACAGCTGATCACATGACCGAGCCGACATCTTCAGCTCTTTCCGTGATCCGCTGTGTCTGAGGGAGACAGCGGACCGGCGATCACCACGCTGCACGCTCCCTGAGCCGCTCATGCGCAGTGAGAATGGTAGGATGTCATATGACGTCCTATCAGAACGAGAGAACCACCTTGCGCCCGTCTTTGTACTATAGGGCAGGCGGAAGGTGATTTAAAGAGAAGTTTAGTTTTATATATATCTATATGTATATATATATAAATCATATACTTACTTATGTGGATGCAGCATCCGATGCTACGTTTGTCCCCTGTCAGTTCTAAGTGTGAGAACTGAGTGATCAGACACTGTTGATCTCTCAGTTCTCTCCCTCTGCTCTGAGCAGAGAGCTGGGACTGTCAGTATCTGGCTCTCTGCTCTGCCCCCAGCACTCACTGGAGCACTGGGCTGTAGAGGGGGTGAGAGGGGCTGGCTCGGGCTCTCAGCAGTATGTTGAGAGGCTCTGAGCCAGCTGCTCATCCAGTGATCTGGGTGGATAAGGACTTTAGAGTTGGGATCTTTCCCCAGCCTGGACCAGCTGAGTGATGTCAGCCAACAATGGATTTTATCCTGCTGTTGGCTGAAAATGGGTCACAGGAGTGCAGAACAAACTGCACTCCTGTTATCCACAGGCGAAGCACAGCCAAATGAGCTTTGGCTGTACTTTTCTTTTTAATACTTATCTTTTCACTGCCAACACCACCATGTTCCTCTGTACTTACAAGATACAGCTGACTGAGGATTATTCTCAATTCCCAGATTGTCAGATGCCTGATCCCACTCAGAATTTAATGTTTTCTTTCCCCCTAACCCCTATATTATCAAAGGGCACAGTAATGATGTAGAAGGGACCATGCAGCACAGTTGTGGACCAGGAATCTTTAGCCAGCGGTATTTCTTGAAAAAGAGAACAGTGGCTTGGGGCAAGTAAGGATTAAACATCATCTATTACCAGGCTGCATGTTTTTTCATTTTGTTTCAAGATGATATGTTCACTTTAGGAAAGGCAGAGAGCCAAAAAACAGGGTTTGAGCAGACTTTCTGCTCTCGTTGAAACTGACCTACCATACCCACCCTTATGATAAACTACCACTATGAATACTATCAATATCCAAAAATACATGCTGTATGTAGGGATGCTGTCTTCTACCACTTACCATTGCCTGCTCATCATCTGCCTGCTACTAGCCCATGTCTCGCCTGTCTGCTTTGCCAGTGCCATTTAGCTTCTGCCCTCTTCTCACCTGTCACTAACCAGCTCATCTGATCAGCTGCAGTGCACCATCGGCTTCCCACTGCTTGGCCTGGACATCCCACAGGCTCCGCTGGTAGCAAGATCAAGAGGCACTCATGCCACTCTGTGCTCCTGTGCCACCTGTCTACTCTATCAGGGGTCCCAAGCCAGAAGTGTAAGAGAGGTCTTCCTCAGCACATCACGGTCTCCCACCAGGTATGTGGCAGAAACGTAATGCAGCAAAGAAAAGACACATCATGCTTACTTCCCTTCGCTATCGGTAGTTGTCCAGCAGTGTCATCAACACAGAACTGATGGAAACCAGTGGGACCCAGGTACATCTACTGTCTGGTGAAGTCTGGCCAGACGTAGACTTCATGGAATAATTGCAGCTAAAAACCCATATCTCTGACATGGAAACAAGGCTAAATGACTCAACTATGCATGAAATCTTAGAAACTGCAGTGCGGAAAAGGGCAGGATCATTGATGTCCTCAATGCTGAGAAATACCTGCAGATACCTGTCCATCATGCCATACCATCAGGGAGGCGTGTGATTTGCTCAAAATATATTCTACAGCAGGTCATTGCCCTAAAAATACAGCCAATGTCATTAGGCACTGTCGTCAGCATAAAATAGAACAAGTAGTCCTGGAAGTCATGATTTGGCCCCTAGTGTCTTGGAAATTCGCTTTAACGAATTTTCTCCTTACCGTGAGTACTCGCAGTTGGATGCGCAGAAATCCCCCATAAAGCTGTGCGAATCTCGCTTACCACGACTGCAGCTAAACTACACGATTCCTGCCCATCCAAATACTTTGGTTCTGTTGAGATGTGGGAGAATTGGAGCTCCGTTACCCTAGAATGATCAAACGACACTCTCAGGATGGTGTTGCAACTCACATAAGGGCTGATTTTAGACCCAGCTCTCTGTTTTATTAAAAATACACACATGCCCCCCCACATGAATAAAGTCAATCCCCTCCCACCGAACAATGCAATGGGGAGTGCCTATACACAGGATGTACATTCCAATTGGAGCATAGCCTTTCCTATTATCTATCACTGGTCCTCCCCCATGAGTCTTCTGAGGTCAGCAGACTTCCTCCCCTTCCCCCCCATGAGCCATCTGAGGTCAGCAGACTTCCTCCCCTTCCCCCCCATGAGCCATCTGAGGTCAGCAGACTTCCTCCCCTTCCCCCCCATGAGCCATCTGAGGTCATATTTCCTGTCCTACTAGCTTCTATTGGTATGTAAATTCTTTGTACAAGCATCTCCTAAAAATATCAGTCTGTACCTGGATGGGCCCCGATACGATCTTTATTAAAACACATCCATCCAAGATACAGTTCAGATTAGTAATGGGTTGTAAGATATGCATAAGCCTACACGTGGAGTTCACACCCGCTTGGCGCCTTGCGTTATGAAGCCCATGTGGTACCATGCTGCTGATATGTGGATACAGGCCCACGGTCTACTGACAGCAGCATTCGCATCGAATGCCGTGGTGGTATACACGCCGGTCTATAAGCGCAGATCTGCCATCTCATCCATTTACCAAGCTGAGTACTGTAATACATACATTGTACATGCGCATGGCCCAATTGCAGCCTTCAGAGCTTTAATTAAGCCACACGAGAGACATATGAATAACACGAATATATGACACATTTAAAGTTCGACCAACAATACAAAATTTCCATGGACATTCCCTCCTGTTTTATCATATTCTCCTCGTGTCCCTTCTTGATCTTCTTCAGCTTGATGGGTGTAGTCTCAAACTTCAAAGAGTTCCTGTAGTTGTCCCTGAGAATAAAGCTCCACGGGGTACCTGAAACAACAAGACCCGACGCAGACTCGACGCAAACAGGCTTGATTGAAGCGATGATCCTCAAGAGCGTTGGAACCTTCACTACAGGAAGGCTCTTGAAAAAACCACAAACAGACTTGTGGTATGAATAAAGCTTGTGATCCCACGGTGGTCTGGGGAGATCCAGCAATAGATTCTCAAATTGCCCCTGCAGACGGGGTCACACAAGGCTGGTCTCGACCCAGACGGTTTTTCCAAATCGCAGACACAAACCATGATGAGGCCTGAAGCTTGCTTGAAGATCTTGGAGAATGTGGTCTTCAGAGAGATAAATTAGAGGGAAGCCAGGACGTAATCTGTAGAGAAGGTGGATGGTTGGTGAGGTCTTCCTCCGATCAGTGGTTGGAGTGGGATCCCAGGAGCGGGCATGAGATGTGGTCGTCTGCCCGAGCTTGGTTTACACGGTCGATGAGGGCAACAGGAACATCTCACCGCGGCATATAAAAGGCAGATGAAAAAGAGAAGCATCAGGATATACACTCCCACTTCCTTCAACCAAGATCCGATGGAGAACAGGAAATCTCCCAATCCTCCCAAACCCTTGAACGGATTCCAACCCTCACTAGCTATAGCTCTAGCTTTTCCCTGTAGTTCACTAACTTTGTCCATATGGGCCTGGACCTTGTCATCGGTGTCTTCTATCCAAGTACAAACAATCCTCTCCGATGAACTCACAGAACCCCCCTTTGGCGGCTAAAAGATAATCAAGGGCCATCTTCTCCTGAAGCACTAAAATTCCCATCTGCCGTTGTTCTTGGGCAAATTTCTCATGACAGCCTCTACGGTCTCGTTAAACATACTATCCACGATGACAGAAAAATTGTTCAGGCGCTTCATAAGTTCTATTCCCATCATCCTGTCCATGAGGGGAACCAAGCCCATGCCTGGTCGCCCTCAGAGAACAGCTCTCTGCGAACTCTCCCTGCCATCCTTACCTTCTTGTGGACCATCAACTCTTCATGATCCATCACTACATAGGATGCGGGGACTAGCTTTATGAGGGCACACGAACCTTTCGCGTTCTGGGGAAATGTTCTATAGGCTGCCGAACCACACAGAAAATAGTAATGGACCTGTCAGAGCAGAGCAGGAAGAGTTCCTCGTTCGGCCTCTGGCACTGAGCAACAGTTGCACAGACTGGGGGATTGCTCCCTCAGTCTGCACATCACATCCGTCCTTCCAACACACGTGGTCTGGTCGGTCAGTGTGGTTACTCAGAAGGGAAGTCTGGTTAGTCAGATTGACAGTTATACCTCCCTCGCAGGTGGTTAGTCCCAACAAACTTGTTACCTGTGCCAAAGCTGATGTTAAAGCACACCTGAGGGCTGCCTAGCTGCCCAGTTACCCATAATGGACTGGTGAGGGCCCTACAGGAGCTAGAGCTAATATTGGTGCTGAAACTGATGTTACCTGCTAAAAATGTGTCATTAAGTTCTACCGCCAATGTCTACGTGGGGGCTGACCAGGGGTCCCTTGCTTTTTCATGCCGACGCGGATGTCATATAGGGCATGAACAGCGGCCATTGCGGACATGTGATGACTGGGCGGGGGGCTTAGAGCATACCCAACAGTTGGTTTTATTGGCGTTTCTGGCTAAACGCAGGTGCATTTTAAATAAAAGGTTGGGGTATCTGCCGTCTTTTCCTCCGTTCACACACATGTATGACATACAAACAAAAAGAAAAAGGAAAAATGACACCCCTCATTCATCTCTGGTGTAGCTGAAAAGCTTCTTGCAGTGGCTTGCGTGCACCCAGTTGTCTCGTCCCTCGAGTTTGAGTGAGGTAGGTGTCGTCAGCTGGACTTGGTATGGTCCGGTGAACCGTGGCTCGAGTCCGGTTCTTTGATGTTTCTTTAGGACGACCCAATCACCTGGCTCAATAGAAAGAACACCTGTTATTGCATTTGGATCGGGGAGCGATTTGCGAACCCGATGGTGTATCTT